ACCGTCATAAATATAAATGAATATACATTAAAAATCATTGAGTTCTGTTCAATATCTATTGGGTTTCAGGTTGTTATGTTTTAACACGATTCAGTAAATAACTGTTGGTGAATGTGTCCATTTTAATTTAATCTATTTTAGGCGAGACGGGCGGCGTACAGGTCTAATTCATAAACAAACTTTAATGTAGTAAATGTAGAGTAACAGAACCCACGCAAAGAAGAGCTGTTTTAGGGCCAAACTCAGCAGTACTTTTTCGTGCGGCTGCTGATAAAAACAGGATCGCCAATATGATCACCAACGTCCGATAACGGATATGGAAGAAGAAGAAGAAGAAGAAGAAGAAGAAGAAGAAGAAGAAGAAGAAGAAGAAGAAGAGGAGGAGGAGGAGGAGGAGGAGGAGGAGGAGGAGGAGGAGGAAGGAGAAGGAGAAGGAGAAGGAGAAGGAGAAGGAGAAGGAGAAGGAGAAGGAGAAGAAGAAAAGATAAGATAACCTTTATTGTCATTTTATACTGTGGGCACAATGGCACACATCAAAAATGAAATTTACTTGCCCGCCCTCAAAGTGAAACACATACATGACACACACCTAAACATACTATGAACAACATATGTATAGACCCACATCCCTACATATACGTAGCAAATAAATATTAAATATTGTCCATCTTGAATACATAACGGAAGGAGGAAGCTTGAGAGTTCGCAAGGTTAATGCTGTATGGAATGAAACTCTGGCTGAATCCGGATGTTCTGCTTCGGATACCACGGAGCCCCCTTCCCCTGGAAGGGAACAAGGAAAACAGGTCGTGAAGAGGACATGTAGTGTCCCAGATAATCTTACGGACCCTGCTCAAGCAACGCTTCTGTGCCATGTCCTGGACGGGAGGGAGGGAACTGCCAATGATCTTTTCGGCCGTCCTCACCACTCTCTGCACCGCCTTCCTGTCTGAAGCAGGGATGCTTCCAAACCAGACCGTGATGCTGTATGACAGGATGCTCTCGATCGTCCCCCTGTAGAAAGTGGTCAGGACAGGGGAAGGAAGATGTGCTTTTCTCATGCGGCGCAGAAAATGCAGGCGCTGCTGTGCCCGCTTCGCCAGTTTCTCGCTGTTGAGCGACCAAGCCAGCCTACTCGTTAGAAGAAGAAGAAGAATTTTTACAAATGGGAAGGGGTTTTGAGATGAAAACTCGAAAATTATATCAAGTTTTTTTTTAAAGAAGAGATTGGGCAGCCCTTTGTCTGAAACGGTAGAGTTTTTCCTGCCTGAGCAGGGGGTTGGACTAGATGACCTCCAGGGTCCCGACTCTGTTATTCTGTTTTCTGGACTTTGAGAAACTCTTGTCTTGAGGTCAGATCTCTACGGAACCAAGAAGTTAAGGATCTCTTTCTACCAAAAAATAAAAAATCAGGATGGCTAGGTTTTCCGGGACCATCTCTTACATTTTCCCCAGAGCCTCGTCTCCAGGATGATTCAACTCCGCCCAAAGCCAGCCCTGAGCTCGCCTTAACTTCTGAAAACTTTTCTTGTTTTCTGGAAAACCCCCAAAATTTACAATTTCTGCTGGCAGGAATTTAGCACGCATTTGTTAACTTTTCAGCCAAAAACACCTCTCCGTCTTTCAGCTGTGCCACCTTCCTGTTCGGTTGAACTGCGATTTATTGATAAAACCTTTCTGGGATTTCGTTGGAATGAAATTCTCTCTTTTTCTCTCTCTCTCTCTCTCTTTTTCTTCCAGATGCTGCTGACAGAATACCTGGACATGAAAAACACACGGGCATCTTCGGAGCCTTCAGCTCAGCTTAGCTATGCCAGCTCCGGGAGAGAGTTTGGGGCGTTTTTTGCAAAAAAGAAACCTCAAAGGCCCAAGACGTCTTTGTTCAAGTACGTGCAGCTCTGGTGTTCCCCCCCCCCCCCGCCCTCCCCCAAGCTGTGTTTGGCATGAAGAATACTTGGTCCTGAAGTCTTCCGTGCTGCTGCTGTTTTGTCTTGTGGAGACACTCCATAATTCCTTTTGCTCTGTGGAAGGGAAATATATCCTTGCCTGAGACGCTCAAGAAGGGTGAAAACCCAAATTCAAAAAAAAAAATAAAAAATGGGTGGAAACAGAGAAAGATGACAAAATACTGGTAGTTCTCGACTTACGACCATTTGTTTAGCTTCCATTGAAAGTTACGACCGCACACTTACAACCACAGCCGTGGGATTGTGATCGAGGTGCTTGGCCACCTCGATCGTTGTCTGTCTCTGTCTGTCTGTCTGTCTGTCTGTCTCTATCATCTATCCGTCTCTATCTCATATCTCTCTATCTTCTGTCTCTCTCTCTCTGTGTCTCTCTCTCTCTGTCTATCTTCTATCTCTATCTCTCTGTCGCTCTCCTATCTTTCTATCATCTCTCATATCTCTGATCTCATCTCTCTCTCTCTATCATCTATCCATCTCTCTATCTCATCTGTCTGTCTGTCTATCTGTCTATCCATCCATCCATCCATCATCTGTCCGTCCGTCCGTCCATCCATCCATCCATCCATCCATCCATCCATCCATCCATCCATCCATCGTCTGTCTGACTCTGTCTGTCTGTCTGTCTGTCTATCTATCTTCTCTATCTGTCTCCATCATCTATCCGTCTCTATCTCATATCTCATATCTCTCTATCTTCTCTCTCTCTCTCTCTCTCTCTCTCTCTCTCTCTCTCTATCTTCTATCTATCTCTCTGTCTCCTATCTTTCTGTCATTTCTCATATCTCTCATCTCATCTCTCTCTCTCTCTCTATCATCTATCCGTCTATCTATCTCATCTATCTATCCATCCATCCATCCATTATCTGTCTGTCTGTCTGTCCGTCCGTCCGTCCGTCCGTCCGTCCGTCCGTCCGTCAGTCCATCCGTCCATCCATCCATCCATCCATCCATCCATCCATCCATCCATCGTCTGTCTGTCTGTCTACCTACCTACCTACCCACCCACCCACCCACCCATCCATCCATCCACCCACCCACCCACCCATCCATCCATCCATCC